ACAGAGCTAATGTTAATATGAAGCTAAAACACAGAGCTAATGTTAATATGAAGCTAAAACAAACACAGAGTTAATGTTAATATGAAGCTAACACAAACACAGAGTTAATGTTAATATGAAGCTAACACAAACAGAGCTAATGTTAATATGAAGCTAACACAAACACAGAGTTAATGTTAATACGAAGCTAACACAAACACAGAGCTAATGTTAATATGAAGCTAACAATAACACAAATCTAAGAATAACTCTCCACCAGTGAATGATGGAAACAAATTTTCTCAGTGAATTTACAATTAATATGTCCTTTAGGAGCAGCAGAGTAAGCTCTTGAAGGAGATAAGTTGGGACGTGGCAGTTAAAATAAAGATTGATTTTTTTAAGAATAAATTTAGAACACAGGTTAACTGACTTAAAGTCAAAAACATGTCATCTGTTAATCGTCATATTGTTTTCATATAAAAGCCAAAACTCATGCCTGTTTCTATGTTTGAGTTTTCTCTTGTGAGTAAAAWCAGTATTTGCAGTTAACCTTTCCTCTGTGTTTTCTTCCATCTCAGGAGCATTTTGCTGAAATCTTTGGCGACAACGCTGCGGCTGAGAGCAGACTGGCTCAGGAGAGTTTTAAGAAGTGGCTGCTGGTGGGGATGACGGTGGTGACCGCCGTGGTGGCGGGCTCTCTCTTCGCCCAGAAACGCCTGTGAGCAGACGTCCGCCTCTGTTTCCCCACCTCGTCCCCCTCCATCCTTCACCTGTCTGTTAAAATGAAGGTCCTGTTTGTCTCCGAGCAGAACTGTCGTAGACGTTTACGTACCTTTTCGTCACGCCGCTCGCAGCGGACCGAGAATCCTGAAAATGTTGTTGGACTTTTGAAAAAGACGACTGTAACAGAAGTTTTAGTATTTTCTTGTGTTCACCTTTTTTTCCCGCCATTTTAATTTAAATGTGTGGTTATATAGAAATACACATTTTGTTAACTGAGCCGGCACTTTTTTTTCTCTTTTTGCAATTTTTATTTTATTTTTAAAACTTTTTTCTGTTTGAATGATTAAAGATTTTATTTTCACCCATTTTTCCTGAGTGATCATCGTAGTTTTAACTCATTTTTGTTGCCATTTTGATTCTACAAACTGGCAGAAACTGATTTATTTTTTGTTTTTAATCCAAACATCAAGTCATTGTGTATTTGGAGTGTTTTTTGAAGTTTTTGCGGCCCTTCTCACAGACGGCTCTAACAGATTTGTACGTGCCATATTGGAAGTGAAAGTCCCCGAACAAGTTCAACGTTTTGCTTTTTTCTGCCATCAACCCTCACATCATAAACCCATCACTTGTAGAAAACTGAGAAAAGGCAGATGAAYATTAGGAAACACACGGACATCTTTAACTAAAACATTCTGTTTGTGTGAGACGSTGCGTTTGATTTTTATTTTTATTTTTAACCATTAAAATCCAACTGCTCCCACTCACCTGTGCTTTAGAGTCATACTTGACCTCAAGTCGATGTTTTCGGTCACGATCGGCCGACCGATCTGTGCGACAGTCATCAGAATCTGAACCACGTTGGTCAAACCGTAGCTGAGGAACGCAGCAGGAACTGTAGCAGCACACAAACACGGCAGCAGCCGTGGATTGTCGTAGTCTTTGTTCGGACGTCTGGATGTGAATTTAAACAACTCTAACCTGTTTGTGAGTGATCATAGTGGGGTTTTAAAGTATGTTTGATTGAAAGCTTAAAAATAACTGAACGTAGTTTATGTGGTGGCGCACACGTCGTGTTTCCTGCTTTTACTTGAAGACTCAGCGTTGACCTCTGAAACGTAAATCTGTCGGCTTCATCATCGTTGACATTTTGAAGTGAAGAAACACATTTTCCCATCAACAAAATCGGTTTGTTTTAATCTGTAAAGTGGAATATTTTCTGTGCAGGACGATGCAGAGTATTTATTTACTCAAGCCGATAAGCTGATTACAGTTTGCTCGTTAGTTGACTTCAGAGGAAGGAAGTTCATTAAATGTTTACAGCTGCTTTGTTGTGACGCTCGTTTGCAGAGCTGCGGGGTTTGAAGGAGCTCATTGCAAAGCAGGAAATCAAGCAAACGTGAGATTTATCACATGTTGCAGTTTGACGAGTTTATTCTGGTGGTTTTCGAGATGTATTGGAATGTGGGTACGCACTCAACGTAAACAAAGCTTAAACAGCCAAAACACGACGCTTAAGTCACGTAATTCTGCGTAGTTGAACATTAGGGTGCAACAAAACCTGCAACAGATTTAAATATTTATTTCATCAACTTGTCTTCTGAAGATGCTCTGTGTTGAAGGATCAGTGGATCTGTGTTCGACTACTCCACCTAGGCTGTATTTTTGAGCACAGATCCACTGAGAAACTTGATGTTTCAGCAACATTTAATTAAAAAAAAACTGGACTTTTGAGGTGAAATAAATGTTCAAAATTAATTTAAATAAATTACAAGAAGCGCGTGCACATTTCTCTCCTTATTGAAAAAATATTAAGTCATGAGATTCTGCATCGTTGCACCCCTAGCAAAGATGGCCGCTAAGTTTGAGCTGTTTTCAGTTTTTTCGGCTGTTTTTGTTTGTAAACTGAGACACATCAAACATTTGCAATGATTTCCTTTAATCTGCCCTGAAACTTGTTTTAAATTATGGATCATCAAAAAAAAAAAGGCTGTAAAAAGTTAGAATTTACAGACGGAGCAGAGGTCCGTGTCGACTAGAACGGCTCATGATGATGAGGTCATCAGGAAGTAGTTTGAAGTCCTAATTATGAGCTGCAGGTCGTTATTTTTTTATTTCTCATCTCCATAAAGAGGCAGAGCCTTTCAAAGATTTATGTAGCACAGAYTCCACGTTTGTTCAGGAAAGTTTTATTTTCTGAGTGGCTGCAGGATCCTGAGACCAGCCACGTTCATATCTCATAACCTCAA